CCAGCAGTAATAACCAGGCTTAGGTTTACACATGTAGGTAGATTTTCAAGGGGAAATATTAAACAGAATGATGAGCCGTACTGTTTTGTGTCATTTATGCAGATCACAAACATAGAAATATTACATTTTTAAAAGCACATATACATAATGAGAAATACATGGACAGTGAATGGTAAGTTGGAGTGGGCCCTTGCTAGTCTGCCCTGCTGAGGTATTTCCAGACTTGTGTGTGGCCATGGGATGGCCAATGCAGCATACCTGTGGACAGAGTGGCCCAGTGGTGCTGTAGGCAGGGTGAGAAATTGTCTATGCCTGGAATCTGCACTTTAGAGCTACTTCTGTGCTGGCAGCTTGGGTAATATCTTATAGGGCGATCATGCAAGAGTTCAAAGGTGGTGGTGCTGGGGATATGAAAGATGTTTTGCAACCTGGAAGATTTCAGCCTTGCACAGGCAGAGTTCTGGCCTTCATGGAGACAAAGAGCATACCCTCCAGCTCTGGATTGTCTGGAATCCATTATTACTGATGTGTCCTCTCAGGTTTTCCTGGTAAGAGATTTTTACTGTGATAAAATATCTTTTTCAGATATGTGGGTCAGAGTGTTCATTTTTTGTTAAGATCTTCCTCCTGGTCAGAAGGATATGCAGGAATTATACCATATTCAGTCTAAGCTAGGGAGGAAAATGAGGTTAGGAATGGATCAAGGAAAAATATAAGATGGCCTTTGCATAAAGTGATAATGAGAGTTTCACAAGCCAAGAAATGGCAATTTAATTCTGTGCTTCTAGTCACTTAAAAACCCACAATCAAAATAATTTACTACTAGAATTGTATAGTGCATATAAAACATAGATTCTATTGAGTATCATTTTTCAGTAGCCTTTGAAATGATAGCTGCTAATAAGCTACAGTCTGGGCAGATGCATTGTATCAGAATTCAAGAATGAATCCATTTAGTTGGTATTAAAGTGTAGTTAAAAAGACAGAAATCACACTAGCTATTTTAACAGAGTCACTAGTGCTAGGAGCTAAGTAGGAGCTGGTAGAACTGAAGAAGCATCAAGGGAGCATCAGGAGAGCAGAGAGAAAGTAACCAGAAGAAGCAGCCACCACCCCTGGGTCTTGGGTACCAAGAGAAAGGCTTGGGGTTCTCAGAACCTGGATGCTCAGACAAGGGACCTCCCAGAGATGCTACCATCTTTCAAGAATGGGGCTCTGCCCAGCTGCTGACAGTTTTGAGCAGGGTTCTGAGGCTTTTTTTTGGAAATCTAGCACAAAGCTGGGAACTCAAACCACCTGCCACTGTAAGGATGGAGCAGGGTTACTGAGGACTTGCTTTCTGGAACAGCAGCCTAACTGGAAGGAAGAGTCCTCTTTCCTTCCTCCCTCACATGCGACCTGTCAGCGTGCCTTAGCAGCTGGCAAGGAGGTTTGCATGGTGCTCAGCCTGTGGAAGGCTGGTTTATAGCCCATAGGCAAGAGTTTAGACCCAGGCACTTAGTCCAAATTTAGTCCAAATAGTGAGCGATCATTTAATTTCAGGAAAAAAAAATTGGAATACTGCTCCACTTTTCTAATACCAAATTTCATCAGCAAACTTCTTTCTGGTATTACATAGAGAGTACAGACCCCACAGGTTAAAAAGGTCATGGGCTACAAGAAGACTGTCCACACGTCAAACTGACCAGCCATAAATGCAGGGGCTTTCCACACTGCCATGACTCAGGCTCTATAACTCTGTCTCGTGGAATTTAGGAAAGCACCATACTTACAGTGTTGTCATCCAGGATACCATCAGGACCACCTACGGAGAGACACAGAGGGTGAAGTTTGGCTGGCTCCCAAATCCAGTTTCCATGTTTTTGGTGGAATCAGCATGTTTACCCTCAGTTACGGTTTGGATATGAAGTGTCCCCCCAAAACTCATATGTGGAACAATGTGGGAATGTTCAGAGAAGGGATGATCAGATGATGAGACTTGTGACCTAATCAGTGAATGGATCCATTTGATGGATTAATAATTTGAATGGATTCGTGGTTGGTAATTGTAGGCCGGTAGGGCATGTCTGGAGGAAGTAGTTCCCTGGGAGCGTGCCTCGAGGATGATATTGTTCCTGGATTTGTGCATGCAAGCTCCCTCTGCTTCCTGGTTGACATGCCCTGAGCTGCTTTGCCTTGCCCTTCCACCACGGTGCTCTGCCTCACCTTGGGCCCAGAGCAATGAAGTTGGCTGACTACAGATTGTAACTATGAAAGTGTGAAACTTTTTCTTCTCTAAATTATTTTTGTTGAGGTAATTTGGCCTTGACCATAGAAAGCTAACACCCCCTGCCAACAAATCCATGTGTTCAGTCAGAGAGCTCCACCGAGCTTCAGTGTCCAGAAATTTTATTGGGGTTTCCACTATGTGGGGATGAGATAAAATTCAATTTCCAGTCCCCCTTACCTCCCCAGAGGTGGGGAGGAGTCCAAATTCCAATTTTTTTTTTATCGGATATTAGTCTTTCTGGTGGTCAACTTCCATCCTGAGTCATATCATCTCTTAGCACAAATTCAGGTGTGATCCAACGGGTTCATGAATACCAGAGACACTCGTATTACTTGGAAAAGTCTAAGGATTTAGAGTTTGTCTCCCATGAACCAGAGACAAAAGCCAAATTATCTTTCAGCAACTTACAAAACAAGATAAAAATAAGTTACTAGGGGTTAGGAGTGTAGCTCAGTGGTAGAGTATGTGCTTAGCATACATAAGATCCTGAGTTCAATCCCCAGTACTGGGAAAAAAGTGATATTGAATGGATGTACAAGTGCATTTGACAGAATGCCAGTTCTCATTCCAAGTTTTAGAGGCATACAAGATGATAGAAAATTACTGCTAGAGAAGCTATTTGCCAATACTAATAAATCAGTTTAGAACATATATGTGAGTTTTGTTGCAAAACTTGCTTTTGCCGGGCACAGTAGTGCACGCCTGTAATCCCAGGGGCTCTGGAGGCTGAGGCAGGAGGATCGCAAGTTCAAAGCCAGCCTCAGCAACTCAGGGAGACCCTGTCTCAAAATAAAATATAGAAAGGGCTGGGGATGTGGCTTAGCGGTTAAGTGCCCCTGTGTTTAATCCCTGATGCCAAAAACAAAACAAACAAACACACACACACACAAAAAACCATGCTTTTATTTGGAGTTCAGAAGCCCAATTTTTTAAAAAGACAGCATTACCCAATGGTTATTAGTTCTCAGTTCAGTTTACAAAATATAATGGTAATAATAATCCAAAAACTCACATTTATTGAGCTAGGAATCTTCCATATACCAATGTATTATTCAGTGGGAAGTAGTAAGGGTGCTATGTTGAAAAAAATGAAAGAAGATAGGGAGTCTGAGTCAGAAGCAAAGTTAAAAAGGTCGTTTTTGTGAGTCACCTGCATTCCTAGGTAAATATTCTGAGGAAAAAAAAAATGACCTCAAGACTGTGGTGAGAAGTAAGAGGAAGAACACAGATGACGGTGCATGGAACAGCTGCTCCATAAATATTAGGGTAAAACAAAAAAACTCAGTCAAGGCAGAGCTCCTCTGTTATGTTCAAATGGATATAGGTTTTAGCACAAAGTAAACATTCAACTAGCAACAAGTAATGCCTGTGGCCTAATTGCTTAGAGGTGGCAAAAATTGCTTAGAGGTGGGCTATACCCCCAATCAATAAAGTAATAAAAATGGAATAAAATAAAACTAAACTTTATTTTAAAAAACAGTACAATAGAGAAAAAACTAATAATTTTTATGTTTATTTACATTACCCTATCATTAGTGGGTGATTTTATTACATCATTTGACAATCATTTATTCAGTGTTCAGGGTCAAACTCTAGGCTGGACAGAAAACACAGGATGAATCACACAGAGCTCCCGTGTGAAGTACTCAGCCTAGGAGACAGGTTATAAACTGGAGGCGGGCCATGGCCTCATCCTTTCATATGTAATTGATGTATTATAATAGTAAGAAATTTTATAACAAAGATACACAATTGCTAGGAACCATCTTTAAGGGATTTAGAGGATCTCTGGAAGTGTTATATACAGCTTAAGGCAAAATAGCAATTCAGAGAAATGGAATGGAAAAATCCTATTTTCATATATTTAAGTGGAAAAATCCTACTATCGAAAATAAAAGGGTAGTATTGATATTTTTGTTTCTTTTAGAGAATGTGTACTGTATTAGAACTGTGGTAAGCCAATGGTTATATGGAATTATGCCCCTGCTCAGTGTCTCCAGTTCCTTGCCTGAAAATGAGGAAAGAGAACACCCATTCCCAGATGCTATGTAAGGTTGAATCCAGAGGTGCATGCCCTGTGCTGACCCCCAGGGAGCATGATTAGGCTTAGTCAAAGCCCTTTGTGAGTCCCCAGCCATTGCTAGGCATATGCAATGGAAAATAATCAAAACTTGTGGGGAGCCACCTATGAAGCTTCTTGAATGGTCTTTTACTGGGTGCTAAGCCATGGGGGACTTAGGTCTCCCCTTGGGAAGGATCCCAGCATTCCCGTGTGTAGACTGCCCAAAGGGTGAGATCTCTGCCCTCTCTCTACTAGTGGGGCAGCTCTTGTAGCTCTGGAATTGGGTGTAACCCATTAGAGCTGGACAGCTCACCTCCTATCTTATTTGGCAGAAGAACATTCTATGGAAACCTTTGAAGTTTCCCCCATATAGAATAAAGCAAACGCGGCTCCCGAGCGCTCTCTCTTCCCAGTGTGGAAGCTCGACCCCTAAGGTCAAAGAGCCATCCCACCCCCGCTTTCCAAAATTACTTTCTGTGTAGTCTGGGTTTTTATTGCTGCCTTCTTTTCTTAGCTTTTTGTTGTAGCCAGTTCACTCCACGCAGAGGAAACCCAAATTCTACCGCCCGCATCAGACGTGGGCGAGAAAAAGTTTTATTTTATTTTTTTAATTCTCATTGAAAAAGTTGATATTGGATTTTCTAACCTCTATTTTTTCTCACTGCCCAGGTTACGCTTTCCCGACCGCTCCTCCTGTGGATCCATTTGCCAAAATCAAAGTGGAAGACTGTGGGAAAACTAAGGGATGCTTTAGGTTGGTAGAAAAAGATGACTTTAAGGCTAAGAACTATATTTACTTCTCAAGGTAGTATTTAAATCGCATGTAATTCATTCCAATCAGGAGCCTATATCCTTTCATAACTTCTGCAATGTTATGGTGTTTCCTTTTTGGAGGGAGGGGGTGATACTGGGAATTGAACTCAGAGGCACTCGACCATTGAGTAATCATACCCCCGACACTATTTTTTAAAAAATTTGTTTAGTTATACATGGACACATTATCTTTATTTTGTTTATTTACTTATTTTTTAGGTGGTGATGAGGATCAAACCCAGTGCCTCACACATGCTAGGCAAGCGCTCTACCACTGAGCCACAACCCCAGTGCCCCCAGCACTACTTTAAATATTTTATTTAGAGTTAGGGTTTCACTGAGCTGCTTAGCACCTCTTTGTGGCTGAGGCTGGCTTTGAACTCATTATTCTCCTGCCTCAGCCTCCCTGGCCACTGGGATTATAGGCGTTCACCACTGCCCACTGCCGTTATGGTATTTTCTAGAGTTATGGTGTTTCTAATGGCCACTCCGTGTTTGAAAGCTTTTTAGCTCTAGCATGCACTAGTCATTGGACTTCCATTTCTGGTTCTCCATTTCTGCTGTGACCCCAGTGTCTATTTCTCATCAATAGGCTGTAATGGGGAGATTCACACAACACAAAATATGTCTATGCTTATTCAGTAGGAGCTGTGGGCAGAATAAGCAATGATAGAGGTATCTAATACCCAATACCTTTTCAAATAAATAGTCGTGACTTGTGGGTTTCTACGTAGGGCTAACTAGTCACTGAGCATTGATTATTGTAGTAAGCTTGCCACTCAGGCATTGGTGAGTGCCCACATGATTATTTAGTGGTGTTCCACCAAGACACATTGTGTTAGGCTAAAAAACTGTGGTGTGCATAGCAGACCTCTCATCTAGTCAGTGCTGTCTTGTTGGAAAAGCCTTCTCTTTGAACCCTTTACTTCCTGTAACAAACTATTAAAACCTTTAGTAGGGTTTTAATGGTTACTGCACTGAGGTTCTGATTTGGTGGTTGTTCAGAGTTCAAGGTCTAAGGGGAAAACAATGAATACGGGAGCTTTGAGCTTTCTTTGGATTACAAGTCATTTCAAATCTACCTTTTAAAAATCTAAACTGCTAGTATTGAGGAAGATGGTTAGTAATGTACAATTTCTGGTGATTAGGGGGTGCTTTTGAGAAGGAATGGAACTTTAGCACCCTGCTGGTTTAAGAGTGACTTGTTTTCATTTTTTTTAATATTTATTTTTTAATTGTAGTTGGACAGAATACCTTTATTTTATTTTATGTTGAGGATCAGATCCAGAGCCTCATACATGTTAGGTGAGCACTCTGCCGCTGAGCTACAGCCCCAGCCCTTGTTTTTATTTTTTGTTCCTTTAACTTTACTTGGCCCTTTTCATATTTTTTTTGGAAATTTTTTTTCTGAATATGATTTTATTTATAATACAACACAGTTTACTTAAATATGACTAATAGAATTCATACATTTTAGTAATGACCATTTTCCTTAATACTTTTTTTTTAATTTTAATTTTTTTTTAATTTTTATTGTTGGTTGTTCAAAACATTACATAGTTCTAGATATATCATATTTCACACTTTGATTCAAGTGGGTTATGAACTCCCATTTTTACCCCGTATACAGATTGCAGAATCACATCAGTTACACATCCATTGATTTACATATTGCCATACTAGTGTCTGTTGTATTCTGCTGCCTTTCCTATCCTCTACTATCCCCCCTCCCCTTCCCTCCCCTCCCCTCTTCTCTCTCTACCCCCTCTACTGTATTCATTTCTCCCCCTTGTGTTATTTTTCCCTTTCCCCTCACTTCCTCTTGTATGTAATTTTGTGTAACCCTGAGGGTCTCCTTCCATTTCCATGCAATTTTCCTTCTCTCTCCCTTTCCCTCCCACCTCTCATCCCTGTTTAATGTTAATCTTCTTCTCATGCTCTTCGTCCCTACTCTGTTCTTAGTTACTCTCCTTATATCAAAGAAGACATTTGGCATTTGTTTTTTTAGGGATTGGCTAGCTTCACTTAGCATCATCTGCTCTAATGCCATCCATTTCCCTGTAAATTCTATGATTTTGTCATTTTTTAATGCAGAGTAATACTCCATTGTGTATAAATGCCACATTTTTTTTATCCATTCGTCTATTGAAGGGCATCTAGGTTGGTTCCACAGTCTTGCTATTGTGAATTGTGCTGCTATGAACATCGATGTAGCAGTGTCCCTGTAGCATGCTCTTTTTAGGTCTTTAGGGAATAGACTGAGAAGGGGAATAGCTGGGTCAAATGGTGGTTCCATTCCCAGCTTTCCAAGAAATCTCCTTTTCATATTTTTCAACCCAGTTCCAGGTTGCCTTGATCTTACATTTCTTCCCCACTGCTCAGGATATTTCTACCAGTGTACTAGGTTGTTCTTGCTTCTTTCCTCAATCAAAATTTAGCACCCTTGTGTCCTGTTCCTTCAAACACCTGCCATCTGAGCTTAGATTGCTACAAGCCATCCGCTCTCCCTCCCTCTGTCTCCCCTTCTTCCTTCCTTTCTTTCTTTCAGTGCTGGGGATCAAACCTAGGGCCTTGTGTAAGCTAAACACATGATCTACCACTGAAGCAGCTCTGTTGCTGTAATTTTTTATCATTCTGAATAGTGTGCTTCAAACTAAGGCTTGCTGGTTCTTAAAGGATCCACATATCCTTTGTAAGACTATTTAAATTTGTGTTTTCAACTCAATGATGCTCTTTAAAAAGAAGGTGTGCATAATCTGACTATTGAGATAACCACCTTATAGCTGTATGTTTTAGTGTCTGACTTTGGAATTATATTACCACCAAGTAGCCCAACAGAAGAAAGGCAAATTTTGTAAATCAATGATGCATTTAGGCTCAATGGACACCAGATGAGTTATTTGTTCATTTGGTGCACTGTAGAAGTGAGGGTTTTGCAGCAAATCAAACAGATAAATTGGGGAGTTGAGCCATCATGTAATGGGCTGCCGTAATAACATGCTGCATTCAAAAATCCCTGCAGGGTACAGTCAGACACACCACATACACAACAGTAGTATACTCTTAGTAAAATCACATTATCCATAACATGAATGCTGGGAATTTTAGTGTTCCTGGATTTTTCTGTTTGTTTAATCTATATTTAATTTCTAAATTTGTGTTGTTTTTAACTACAAAAATTTATAAGTAAAAAGAAGTGGTGTACATTTTAATTAACAAAAAATGGTTTAAATTATTAACTTAAAGAATCCTTTTCCTCTAAAGGAATTCAGAAATAATTCAGTAATTCCTAAAGTTTAAGAAATTACAATATAATGCAGAGAACACTGGCTAGAAATTTAGAGACCTACATTCCCATCCTGTTGCTGTCTTTGATTTCATTATGCAGCCTGAGCCAAGCCTCTTTCCTTCTCTGGACCTCATTTTATATGTCTGTAAAGTGGAGCAGATCATATCCACGGTTCTTTCTGAGTAAAACTGTTTTTGAGACCCCAGTAAGCAAAGACCTTTTTTTTTTTAGTAATATTGCTTAGCATTCTATCTGTTACTATATGTGAATAAGCAGAAGCAATAATGTCTCTTTTTAAATTTTTATTATTTTTTTTTAGTTGTAGATGGGCACAATACCTTTATTTTATTTATTTTTATATGGTGTTGAGGATCGAACCCAGGGCCTCACACATGCTAGACAAGTGCTCTACTGCTGAGCTACAATCCCAGCCCAATAATGTCTCTTTTGACACATCTTCCAGATATGGGAAACCAGGCTGTAACGCAGAGACCTGTGACTACTTCCTTAGCTACCGGATGATTGGGGCTGATGTGGAATTTGAGCTGAGTGCAGACACAGATGGCTGGGTAGCAGTTGGATTCTCTTCAGACAAGAAAATGGTAAGATGCAAATTATGATAGAATCTGCTTTTTTCTCCTCTTTAGTTTGCTGGGTTTCTTTAGATTTAGGAAGCATATAAATTGATCCAAGCAGTAGAACGATTATATTAGTTGCAAGTTAAAAAAAACTTTCTAGCTCACTTAAGGGCAAGGGTTGGTTGTTAGCATATGAAATGTCTTGTGGCTCAGTAATCTCAGCTATAGCCACAGTGATGCTACAGGAAGAGCCCCTGAAACTGAATATCTTACACTAGTGAGCATTTATTTCTTGCTCATAGATGTGTGGTGTGTCTGGGGTTCAGCCCATTTTAAGTAGGGTTCAGCTACACTTGGCTGCAGTTGGTGGGATGGATTCAGGTTTTCTCTAGTCAATCTAGAAGGAACTGCCATAGAGGCATGATTTTTCATGGCAGAAGCAGAAGTGACGAGCCATCGTAAGAGGAAAATTCTAACTGCTTTTTCTCTCTCCTTACACACTCAACACTGTTACCAGACACCAAGCAATCTTCCAGTGGATACCAGGTAGATGTCCTCTAACAATTCATTTCTGACACATCTACTGGGAGGTAGCATCAGATCCCACAGGTTAAAGGCTCAGTCCCAAAAGACAGCCCCCACTTTAGATGCCAGTTTCAAGTCCTGGGTTATAACCTGTGCTTCTGACACCTGGGAGCTGTACAACTGTGGGAACTGTAAATCATAGTTTCCACAGTTTCATTAAGTTGCTAGAGTAGCTCACAGAACCCTGAGCACTTTACTTTCATTTACCTATTGTGTTAGCTTTCCATTACTGCGACAAACTACCTGAGGTCATCAGTGTGTAAAAGGAAAAGGGTTATTTTGGTTCACGGTTTCAGAGGTTCTCATTTCATGGTTGCTTTTGAACCTGTGGCCAGGCAGTACATCATGGTGAGGAGCATGAGGTAGAGGAATCCTGTTTGCCTCATGGCAGCAGGGAAGGAAGGGAGACCAGAAGAGGTCAGGGTCCCAATGTCCCATTCAAGGGCATGTGCCCAGTAACCTAACTTCCTGCCCCTAGACCCCACCTCTTAAAGTTTTTGCCATCTCCCAATAACACCACAGGGTGGGGACCAAGCCTCTCACATAAAGGCCTTTGGGTGACATTTTAGATCAAAACTGTAACTTCCATTTATTATAAAGGATATTGCAAAGGATACAGATGAATGGCCATGTATACAGACATCTAGGGCAAGGTATGGGGAAGGGGTGAACAGCTCCATGCCTCCTGGGCATGCACCTCCCTCCAGGCATCTACATTCAGCATCCAGAAGTTCATCCAGACCCTGTTATTTGGGGGCTTGTTGGTTTTGTTTTAATTTTCTATAGTGATGGGAATCAAATCTACCACTTATTCCATCTAGGCAAGTGCTCTACCCCTGTGCTACATTGCTAGCCCTTTCTTTTGGGTTTTTATGATCTTATCATTGGCCTTTAGTGATCAGTTCTAACCAGAAGCTGGGGGGTGGGACTGAAAGTCCCAATCCTCTAGTCATCATGCCTTGATTTTTCTGATGACCAGCCCCCCTCCTGAAGCTGTGTAGGGGTCCCAGCTACTAGTCATCTCATTAGCATACAAAAAACACTCTTTCCACTCCAGAGATTTCAAGTTTTTTTTTTTTAATAAGTTGTGTGCTAGGAACTAGGCGCAGAGACCAAATGTGCCTATTCTATTACAGTGTCCCAGTCACAGATCTCTGCTTATATCACAGCTGCTACACTTTCATTGCACAAAGCAAGTCACACAGCCAACCTCAGAATGAAAGTACACTGTCCCTACCAAGAAACTTTGCAAAAATACGCCTACATAAATCTACCACAGGGCAGTGGAGAATTGGATCCAACAATTCAGTCTTTCAAAATATCCACCGGCCAGAAAACACCTGGACCTTAGAAAGGACTGTGACAGGAACAGGCAGGGCATTGGGAGGCCAGGCCGTGGTCTCTCTCACCTCAATGGCTCAGCTGACTTCTTTCTTCTTTCTTCTTGAGCCCCACCACCGTGCCAGGCTCCTTCCCAAACCATCTGCTTTAGTCAGCTTTTTCACTCCTGGGACCAAAAGACCTGACAAGAACAATTTTAGAGGAGGAAAAGTTTATTTGGAGGCCCCTGGTTTCAGAGGTCTCAATCCATAGACAGCTGGCTCCATTCCTTGGGGCTCAAGGTGAGGCAGAACATCACGGTGAAAGAGCATGGTGTAGGGAAGTGGCTTACACGATGATCAGGAAGTAGAGAGACTCCACTCCCCAGATACGAAACATATATCATGAGGGCATGTCCCCAATGACCCATCTCCTCCAGCCTCACCCTACCACCTCCAGTTACCACCCAATGAATCCCCAGTAGGGGATTAATTCACTGATTGGGTTAAGGTTCTCATAACCCGATCATTTCACCTCTGAACCTTCTTGCCCTGTGTCACACATGAGCTTTGGGAGGACACCACATATCTAAAGTGCAACACCATCGGACTTTCTCAGGCTGTTGGGCCTTTGCACCTGTAGCTGCCATTGTCTAGAGGGCCTGCCCACTTCTCTTCACCTTGCCTACTTTGAGGGTGTCTCATACCAGGGTTTCAGCTGTGGTGATGGTGAGGAGGGCTCCGGTTTTGGATGTTAGAAACCAGTAGGGATGGGATTTGCTAAGGAGTTGGATACAGGCTGGTGCTACAGGGTACAAAGAGACTGAGGGGGCAGTGTCAGCGGGTGGCCACCCTGGTAGTTTTGTTCTTCTCGAGGTCACCAGCAGAATGAGCCTCCACCGGTTCTAGTCCAGGCAGTAGGACAGTGGATGCATCTGGTAAGACTCCATGGATACAAATGCAGGGGGTACCTCTCTCCCACGGTGGTGTCAGGAGAAACGGCAGGTGTGGTCCTACCCAGAAGCTGGCTCCCATGAGGAGGGACCTCTTCCTGTCCTGGAATGGTAGGGCTGTTAAGATTAGGAAGCTCAGGCCAGGGACGGTGACACATGCCTGTAATCCCAGTGGCTTGGGAAGCTGAGGCAGGAGGATCACAAGTCCAAAGCCAGCCTCAGCAACTTATTAATTAGCTAATAATTAATTAGTTTTTGGAGTCTTTCGTAACAACCCTTCTGAAGATTATAGACTAGTTTTTCTTTTTACAGAGTGAGCTTCAATTTGGGTTGTCTGATTGTTTTCTCATTATTAGATTAGTTGATATGTTTTAGGCAAGAAAATTTCTTGTATATAGGTGATAATGTACCTATGTACATCAGGAGGCACTTGATGTCAGTTATGGTGATGCTGACTTTGGTCACTTGGTTCAAATTTTTTAATGGCATTTGAAATGATTTTTTTTTTTTTTGCTGATAATTGAACCCCCTGGGCATGTGCTAAGCATTTGTCTATCACAAACTACACCCCCAGCCCCAAATAATTTTTTGATGGGATTTCAAGTTACAGAAGGGATGGACTGTATATTTCTGAGTGAAATGTTCCCAAAAGACAAACCACGACTTTATCGTCTTACTCATTTTCTGTGTCAGGGTGGTGACGATGTCATGGCCTGTGTCCACGATGACAATGGCAGGGTCCGCATACAGCACTTCTATAACGTGGGCCAGTGGGCAAAAGAGATTCAGAGAAATCCTGCCAGAGATGAAGAAGGAGTTTTTGAGAACAATCGTGTCACCTGCCGATTCAAACGTCCTGTGAATGTTCCCAGAGATGAAACGATCGTGGATCTGCATTTGAGTTGGTATTACCTATTTGCCTGGGGCCCAGCCATTCAGGGTAAGCTTATATTTCAGCCTCCACATTAAGCACCAGACACAACTGTGCTTGTGTTCATTATGAATTGAAGTCACACTGTGTAAGCAAGAGAGCTGTAAGCACTTTGAATAATACAAAAGAAACAGGAGAGGCAACCCCTACCTTTAGTAGGTTATCACAGTCTTATGACATGCACAGACAAATGACAAGCTGCAAGGACAAGCTAGCTGGAGCAGGGTGGGCTGTGTGCTTAACAAATAGGTCCTGTGTCTTCCCAGTGGCAGGTATGGGCTATTTAATCCTCACAACAAATCCATTTATTCCTCACTGCATCCTATAGAGGTCTAGACATTGTTATTCTCCTTTTAGAGAGATTTAGAAACTTGCTCAAGGCAATGCCCCTAACTGGTGGAAGAACTGAAATCCAGTCCTGTCTGTCTGACTCCAGTTAGTGCTTGCCCTTAACTCATCCTCGAAAGAGAAAAGTATTGAAGGAAAGGGCTTAGGGAGAGTTGTCTGGAGCTTGACAGCAAGTATTTCATTACTAGTCTCTTCTGGTAGTCACAAATCCACCAAATTACCCTATAATTTAGCCTGTTACTCCTCAAATATTCGTATGCATAGGAATTCCCTGGTTGTAGTGTTAAGATGCAGTCTCCTGCAGGTCTGGGGTGTGGCCTGAACTTCTGCATTTCTAACAAACTTCCTGGAGATGCTGATCCACGGATGACCTCACTTTAGTGAGGAAGGCTTTTCAGCATTTCCCCAGGAGAGATCCAAGAACACCACAAGACCCCTTAGAGATCACTGAAGTCCAGTGACACTGTGTCTTGAGCCTTCCTCTTGGTTGACCAGGCTAGTGGCCTGACTGGGAGTGGGTGGCTTTGGTTTGCAGTCCTGGTGCAGAGAACTCACTCTGGCTCCTGGTGACGGCACCTTTCTTCACTGTGCGCCTGGCGACTCTTCCTTGCTTCATCTGATCTTGTTTTATTTCCATCAGTTTGTGTGCATCGATCATTTTGGAGATGGCATGACCCACATTTCTTTGCCTGTTGCCAAGTGGGAAAACACTTAGAAGCCTCTCACCATATGTGACACCTTTTTCATTTGCTGATTTCCCATATTACCAACAGTGGATCTGCAATGATGCCTTCAAGTACTTCCAGTACCCTGGGAAATAAATTAGATCTCAGTCTGGAGAAATGAACTCATTTAAAGTGGTGGGATTTGGAGCCTAAAATATTTGAGTTTGAGTATTGATTTTGCCCTTGGTATAGCTATATAATATTTAGCCTATTATCTAAAATCTGAACTTCATTTCCTTATATCTAAAGTGGGGATAATAATAATATCTGCTTCCTAGGATTATTGAAAGGATTAAATGAAAACAAGCATTTGAAATGGCTTTATAAATTGAAAAGTGCTGTACAGTATTCCTCACTTATCTGCAGGGACTGTGTTCCAAGATCCCTGCTGGATACCAGAAACTCCATATATACAGGCTTTTCCCTATACATAATTTATAAGTTAGGCACCATAAGAGATTAACAACAATAATAATAGAAAATAGAATAATTGTAATGATATACTGTAATAAGAGTTGTATAAATGTGGTCTTTCACTCTCTCTCAAAATATCTTAAATCTGTTACTGTATTTTTGGACCCTGAGTAACTATGGGCAACTGAAGCCACAGAATACAAAACACAGATGGGGGCACTACTGCATTTGCAGAGGGTCATCTTCCTAGGTGTCTGGCATCCTAGCCTGATGTTCAAAGTCCTCTCTGAGTCCATCTGGCTTTTCCTGATAAGCTCTTTCAAGACTTGAGCTCGGGCTGGGCTTGTAGCTTACTGATAAAACACTTGCCTAGCTTGTGTGAGGCATTGGGTTCAATCCTCAGCACTATATAAAAATAGGTAAATAAAACAAATATTTTTTTTAAAAGTCTTCTGTTCTTCTCACTGTCTCCAAGCACAACAGGCACATTCCTGCTCCCTGTACACATTTGGGCTCCTCTTGTTTCCTGAATGCCCTTGTAATGCCTTTATAGTGACCAAATTCTTTCCATTCTCTGAGCAGGGATAAACTGAGCTAAGGATGGAAAGGGTGTGGATTAGATTTATCCCAAGGGAGGCATAAGCCAGAGGTGCTCTGCTAAGTTTAGGAGACCATGCAGGTACCAATGAGGTGAGGTTAAGTAGGAGAGCTGAGGGGGCCCCGTGGAAGGGAGAATCTCTGTGCTAACTCTGTTTGTGCTGATAGGAGCCAGGGTTGGAGTAGACTTCACATGTCAAGTTTGGCTGGGCTTCCCTAGTAGTGATTATGTTAAAAACCCTCACTTGAGCCTTAGTTAAAAAGAGATTTCTGCACTGAGTTCACATGGCTTAGTTTCTCTAACCCAAGTTTCATTTGGATTTTCAGAAGGTCAGTCACTTCTAATCAACTTCAGCTTGTTATGTCTCTTTTTTAAGAGATAGGGTCTCACAGTGTTACCTAGGCTGGCCTCAAACTCCTGGGCTCAAGCAGTCCTCCTACCTTGGCCTCCCCAGTGGCTGGGGCTGTGGATGCACACCCTGCTTATTAACCATCTTTTATGTATGCATGTGCATATGTGTGTGTTCATTTACTGTGGTACCAGGGATGGGGTCCAGGGGATGTGGGGGAAGTGCTGAACCATTGAGCTACACCCTCAGCCGTTAACAATCTTTTATAACATAGCCTTTCCTTCTGCCCTCTTGTAATCAGGTCATAAAGTTTTCCACCCCCAGACTTGTTTGGTATCTTGGTCCTCCTACTTTCTATACCATTCTTCCCTACTCTGCCAGACAGACACACAGACTCACATGGACATACACCCAATCTGGCTCAGCTGAGGCACGCTGCCTCTATAGGTGCTGCAGACAATGGAAGAGGGCTTCCACCTTAAGGGAGACTGCTGTGTCACCAGGAGTTATCAATGACTCATACATAAGAGAGAGATTTGAGAGGAAAAAATTAGTAGCCTTTGCTGTTTGGAATCCTGTTGCTAAGAAATGAAAGTCATTAAAGATGAAACCCACATTCACTTTTTGCATTTGGCGTTAAGCATGTTTTCATACTATGGTGTCTAAATAGCAGCCCTAAAACAGAGATGCCACAGACAGATCAATACCATTGATCTGTTAAAGGAGAGGAGAAGATTAATAGGAGCCAGTCATTTTTGGATAAATTTAGCTGATTTCTGTGTTCCTCATAATAAATTATAGAGAATTCTGATGATAACTCTGATCCTGATTCCAGATCGTTACAGTCACTGTGTGCACGTTGCACATTGAAGGCTTGTCTTTACTTTTTCTGTTGCTTTCCTATACTGTTTTAAATCTGTACTTTTTTTCAGTTGCTCCTCCCCTTCTATTTCTTTCTTAAAGGCTCTATCACCCGCCATGACATAGACTCTCCACCGGCTTCAGAGCGCGTTGTCAGTATTTACAAGTATGAAGACATTTTTATGCCGTCAGCTGCCTATCAGACCTTCTCATCTCCGTTCTGCTTGCTTCTCATTGTTGCCCTGACCTTCTACTTATTGATGGGAACCCCTTAGCCATAGCTGCAAGGCCAGCGGAGTCAATGGATTGGAAAGTCTTTAGTATAAGCATATTTTTAAAAAATATCCAGTATAATTTTAGCTTCTGTTATTTAAAAACTCATGATTTCAGCTTTTTGGAAGAAAGAATAAACTTCTTTTCTAGTCAAAGAGGGTTATTTAATAATGATCCTACTTTTGGGAAGTACTTAAAACTTTTGTAAACAATTTCAAATATGTTTTCTTATTTGAGTCTCACAAGATCTCTGTGTTGGCCTGATAAAAAATTAAAATGACCATCTTAGCAAGATTTGAGATTCAGGAAAGCTGCTCATGTATGACTCACATGCCATGTACCTTGGTTATTTGGTTAAATAACACTTAGCAAGGTAGAGAAGAGCTAGGCACAGAAATCATGTCTCTGGACAATCTTTACTGAGTATTACAGCCCAAGAGAGTTACCTTGAGTATTACTAAAGAGAACCTCCCTGGGTATCACAAGTTCACAGTCAGTCTTTTGAGCAAATTTCTGTAGAACATAAGTTCTTTTTAGATGTGTACACAGTTGATGGGAAGGATGGGGAAGGTTATAATAATATGAAAATTGTTCATACCTATTTGATTTCTTCTCAGAGTGTAGCTATAAGCAAACATTTTTATAGCTGTTTGAAAAAGGTTACAAACAGAACTGTGAATGTTCCTGATGCCAAATCATTTTAATAGTTAAAAAAAATGGGCATTCTTAGTTAGAATTTGGACTATTCTACTATTATATTTTGTAAATGAAGGTATTCATCTGTTCTTATTGCCAATTCTGTTGTCAAAGTCAGCATGCATTAAAGTATGTGTTGTTAACAGACATGATTAAGTATGTCAGCATGATTAGGTATGTGTTATAATAGACAAATTATCTTACTAAAAATTTAAGTCATTTTAATACTATATGAATATTTGGGGGGATTTTAGAGATTTGGAGCCAATAAAAAAAGATTTTTTTTTAAATTAGAAAATGGGAAAATGACCCATAAAATGAATTCACCTAAAGTATTCATTCAAAATGTCCAGGCTTGTGAATTGGTCTGGCAGTCAGCATCATTCATAATAATGCCTTGATGTAATGTGTTTCTTTTTTTAAAAAGAAGCCCAAGTATACCTTTGTTCCTAACGTCTGTGGTAGCCACCCACTAGAGAAGAGGGTTCTGTGGGCACAGTCACACTACTGAGAGGCACTTCTGCATGGTGTTCTAGAGTCCTCTGACTTGCCCCAGTTGCTGGCTATGACTTTGTGTTTAAATGGCACTGGAGATTGTGATCTCTAAAGCCACCTTTGAGATTTATGTCAGAGGTGAAAGGCTGCCTGTGGGGAAAGCTTTCACATTCTTCTGGGCCTGAACCAAAAGAAGGAAGACCTTGATGCTCTGGGACATCTCACAGTTAGCAAGTGCTTCCAAGAGATATAGGAGAAACACCCCTCATTGCAGACAGGGAGAAATAAAATGACATCAGGTGAACAATGGAACTCCAGATTCAAGCCCAAGACTACATCTGACTACCAAGACCTCAATAAGCCCTTCCTTGGTGGTGGTGGCTGAGCCTGGCCTGTGTGTCACCTTCTCAGCTCTAATGGTTGTTTAGGAGTAAGGATATTGAGTATGCAGGAACCCACATTGTAAATAAGAAAGCAAATATTTTTGTATTTCACTCTCTTATGTGTATAATAATTGATCTATAAATAGATTAAAACAAAAAAGAGACTTCAGTTAGTAGCAGGCAGGAAAAAAATGAGTGGAGATTCCTTCCACTTACATTTCAAATCAACTGCTTATTTCACTAATTCACTCCTTTGATTATGGTTTTGCATGTCTATGCTTAACACTTCCAGTGACTTCTCCTTGCCCAAAGGTAAAACGCAAAGTTGGTGAGCTCTGTTATCACCTCTCCATTACTAAGTCGCAGCAAGACTGAAGGACTCTGGGTTCTTCAGACCTGCCCACTCTGTCACGTGTCCCATGTTCACTCACTCTTTGCCTCCTGTGTATGATGAACAGCCACTCATCTTTCAGGTCTCACCTTAGTTACTTCTTCCTCCAGTCCCCTGGACGTGTAGGTTAGGTCCCTACCCAGTGCTCCCATAGCCTCTAGGGGCTTCCTCCTCATAACACTCACCATATTTCATTTTAATCACTGACTCTGCCCTCCCTGCTGATTCCCTAATGCAGGGTCTGTTTCTCATTACTCATCACCGAGCAGATACTGCTCCACAGTAAGTACTCAGCAAACATATGTGGAAAAAAATAAATAGGTGAAGCTATGATGTGACAGCATATCATCTTTGGTTCAAAAGACATGTATTTCATATACTTTACCAGACTGGCCAACATTTTTTTATTCTTCTGTCTTCAATCAAACCACAAATTATTCTTTTATCAAATGCTGAACTTTTTTTTTGGTACTGGGGATTGAACTCAGGGGCACTCGACCACTGAGCCACATCCCCAGCCCTATTTTGTATTTTATTTTGAGACAGGGACTTACTGAGTTGCTTAGTGCCTCGCTTTTGATGAGGCTGCCTTTGAACTTGTGATCCTCCTGCCTCAGCCTCCCAAGCTGCTGGAATTACAGGTGTGCGCCACCATGCCCAGCTGAACTTTGTCTTTTGAAACAGAAATGGGAAGATCCTTAATAACAGTGCTAATAATTTGCCTACAGTGAACATTAGTTGACTCCTCAGCTCCCCACAGAATTGGGTTTTGAACCTAGAGGATCATATAAATTAAACACTCTACCATTGAGCTACATTCCCAGCCCTTTAAAAAAAAATTATTGTGATACAGGTTCTTGCTAATTTGCCTGGGCTGACCTTGAACTTGTGATTCTACTGCCTCAGCCTCCTGAGTTACTGGGGTTAGAGGCATACCACTACATCCAGCCTAGTTGACATTTTAACACAATAATCATTGTGCAGAAGTAAAAATCCACACAGACTAGGGAGGCAGAATAGTATTTGTCCATCGTCTCATAGAATCATCAGTTGATAGACAAGCTAAAATTAAAACTCTATAGACTGATTCCTTCCATTCTTTTTTTTTTCCCAAAATGCCCGAATGGAATAATTGTAAATAGCTGAATGTGGTTAGTGCTGTTCTAAGCACTTTATGTGGATTAACCCATTTAATCCTCATGACCATAGGAAGATTCAATTATTAATCCAATTTTACAGATGAAAAAAATGAGGCTAGTCATTTGGCATAAATCACCACAGCTGGTAAGGACTTTAGAGAGCATTTAATCCATGCATTTATATTACAAGGGAACAGCAAAGGCACTGGGGGGTGAGGATTTCCTGCACCTTCATGTGGATTCACTAAAAGTTGTATTCAGTGAAACCTGCTATCCATATTCAACTGAACTAGGTGCCTTTTTTTCCACTTTAGTAATTTACATTGAATAGGAGGACTATTTATAGTTATATTGGGGAAAGAAGTACATTTTATTTTGTATCAACTTTCTTTCCTGCTTAAAAACATTTTGATTACTTTACCAGTCGTTTTAGTGCTTTTTTTCCTCACAATTAAAAAAAAATTGTTCTAATTAGTTAAACATGACAGTAGAATGCATTTTAAAAAAAAGTTTATTTATTTATTTTTTCATGTGGTGCTGAGGATAAAACTCAGTGACTCACACATGCTAGGCAATTGTCTACCACTGAGCTACAACCCCAGCCCCAGAATGAATTTTTTAAAAAATTAAATTAAAAAATACTATACACATTAGGCAAAATGGGACGAATGTATTTATCTTAGTTTATTTTAAAAAGTGACCTGCCTAAAACCTAAGTCTATATCCTCGCTTGGAATCCAATGACCTTTTTATTTTTTGTGCTACTGGGGATTGTACGCAGGGGTGCTCTACCACTGAGTTATATCCCCCTCACTTTTTGGTTTTTTATTTTGAGATGGGGCCTTGCTAAATTGCAGAGGCTGACCTTGAACTTGTGATCCTCCTGCCTCATCTTCCCAAATAGTTGGGATTATAGATGGTGTCACCAGGCCTGTCTCCAATGCCCTTTTATTGCTCTACTCTAGTCTCAAAGGTGAATTTATAAACACGATTTCAGATAAAATGTAGGAGCTATATTTAATTGTGTTGGGTTGCCTTTTGTCATTAAAGAATTTAGAAAGTTTGGACAAGTTAGGGATGGATTTCCATTTATCCTAGATGGAATTTACTGCTATTTCTGTATTAAAGGTTAATAGCTATATTAGGATTTTGTCTTAAAAGATATTATCACTGAGGTTACCACTTAGCTCTAGCCAGGGTTTGATAAATTTCTGTGTAGCTGGGCTGTAAGTATTTTCAACCTTGCACTCTGTGTCTCAGCTGTTCCATTCTGCCATAGACAGCATGTAAATGAATGAGCATGGCCGTGTTCCAACAAAACTTAATTGACACAGAAATTTGAATTTCATATCATTTTCACGTGTCACGAATGTTCTTTTGATGTTTAAAAGCCCTTTAAAATTGTGAAACCCATTCTTAACTTTGCAGGCTGAACAAAAACAGGAAGCAGGCTGGGTTTGGCTTGTGTACTATGGTTTTTCCCACACTTGCTGTTGGTCAGGAACACAGCAGTGTATCATGATCTGTGGTAAATTATATGGCCAACAATTTATTACAGGCTTACTATAAAAATATTGAATATCTTATTTTAAAAATAAATTATAGTTGATTTATTGCTATAAATAGATGGCATAGCCAAGAATGATAGCACACAGCTGTAATCCTAGCTACTTGGGAGGCTGAGAGAGGAGGATCAAAAGTTCGAGGCCAGCCTGGGTAACTTAGTAAGATCCTGTCCTCACACAAAAGATAATTAGGACTGGGATATAGCTCAGGGGTAAGGTGTCCCTGGGTTCAATCTCCTGTACTGAAATAAATAAATGGCATAATGATATTCGCATGCATTTATATTCTAATATTTTTTTTCTGGATTTGATGTAAAACAGGTAGGTGGCAGTAAAGCAGAGAGCTGGGTAAGTTACATATTTTACCTAAGCTGTGGCAATCATGAGCAACTTTTACTATTGAACTGCCCTTCACAGTGATGATTTCAATGTGTCAGAGTGATTTATTTCCCTGAAGTAATTTAAGTTTTATCAACATGTGCTATACTCATAGGAGTGTTTTACACATGTGACATGGCATCTACCTTATGTAATGGAAAATATTTGAGAACCAGGGCATGAGGCCATATGCTGAGATGTGTGTACTTTGTTATTGTATATATTGTATATCTTTTCTCTCTAAACAGAATTGGTTATGTTTAGTGAATAGTTTGATGTTCTCAGTGTGTTTATATATATATTTGTACATACCTGAAGGGGTGTGGGTGTGTTTATACATAAATGCATATATATGAGCATTTAAAGGTCTTTATCAGGGCTGTTTTTGTTTCTGATTTCATGAATACTTTAAAACCCATGAGGTAAAACATTATGTGTATTACAGGGTAACCTACCCTTGAGTTTATAGCAATTTAGTTTATAGAAAGGATTCCTGTAACAAGGGTTGCCTCTTCCATTCAATATTATATGAATTGTTAAGAGCGTATAAAGTATCATTGTTGAACTTGACTGACTTTTCTATACCGTTAGTGAAGAAACCAAGACTAGTGTTAGGTAACTGGCATGTCGATGCAACCTATACATGCTTCATATTTAATTAGCCTCCTGATTCACTTATTTAATTAGAAAATTATTTAGTTTCAAGTTGGATTTCTTTGTTTTTATATTTAATGATGACTTGCATATAAGTTCTTTTTCATGAAAATAGTAGCTAAGCCAATGTGATTTTAAATATGTCAGGTGACTAAAACTTAGTGACTCATTAAGATTTGGGGGATTTTTCCCTTAAAATACACTGATGCTTGGTTAAATGTTGTTACTTTTCTCCTGGATATTTGCTATTAGGCGAAAAACTATTCAGTTTGATTCTTCTGGAGAATAATCAATTCATTGAGGTTATGGGGTACTGCAGTGGTGTGGCATTTGCCCAGGTCACTAGAGTCCTTACTGTTTCATCACCTAGAATGTCCTGGTCACCTGGATGAGTGACACAGCTTCGCCACATGCCTTATTCCCCCTGATGTGTTGATGTGCTGGAACAATCTGGGATCTGGGAGTATTAATATACTTTTTTGAGACTGTCTAGAAAATACTATTTTGTAAAAACTATGCCTTTAAATAGACATTGATGGGTTATATTTGTTTTATAATAATTGTGTACCAAATGTTCAATTGTGATTGATTTTGAGATTACATATAAATGTATATTTATAAGCCTGTTCTATGTGAATTTTTACTCAGACAATGTGGTACATTAATTACTAAAAAGACATGGATTTCTATTTATGTAAAGTAATGGTAACAATACTCCTAAATGCTGCCTAATGATTATTCTGTCCCTTTGCTATCATACTTTTATCTTTAGAGGATTATGTTATTGTCAGAATATATTAACGAGATTTAAAATATAAATTCTCAACATAGTTTGAAATTCTTCCTGTTGATGTAATTAAAATTAGTTTATAATTCTGTATTGCTTTGCTCTGCATTTTGTTTTTCTGTTTCTTTGTTTTAAATCCTTTCACTGCTAAGTCTCCCTCAAGGCTCTCTGAATCTACAGACTGTGGAGAAGATGGCAGCCTATCTTGTCTGACCAAGAGGAAGATCACATTGTTGTAGCCAGGTAAAAATCCCTATAGAGGAGCCATGTGCAAAGTAAATTTATCTTCATAGCTTCATTTTAATACCTTATCAAGTTTTAAGTGGAGGTCTGTAATCCCATTTCAAGCATATCCGTTGGTTAATTGCACATAGCTATCTCTAAGAATTTCAATTAGGAGCCTTATTGCCAACTAAATCATATTATATGTTAAGAATAAATAGACTTCATTTGAAGGGCCTAGTGAGTCATCTGGGAGGTTTAGAAAGTATAAAATGCAGAAGCTGAGCTACCAGTTCTTTTGGGACTAGGTTGAGAGGATCATGTGTTATAAAAGAATTAGGCACCACCACATTCTGCATTACAGCCCCTAATCCTCATCACAAAACCCCAAACATTTTGTCCTTGTTTGGTATTATAGTTGTTTCCTCTGATATTTATTTTGCAATATCTTCAGTGGGTAGCTTAGTTGTCAGGTATAAGGGCCAGCAGATAAACTGTAAAAGAACTGGAATAGATTTGAGTAACTGGGAAAGTTACCTGCATCCAGAAGCTCCAACCACTCATTCATTTAATAATTGTTTATTGAAGACTCTCATGTGCCTATGCCTCTACTAGATAGCCACACCTAGAAGACTCCAAGAAGAACAGTTCTTGATTTCTAACTCTAAGAAGTTCAGAGCCTAGTTGGGAATTCAGCACATAATACCATGACAATACCTCGTGGTATTCCAGTGGTATGGAAAAGCTTGTATGCAGTCCAAACCTGGAGAAGGGGTCCTTCCCCCACTCCTGGGGCCATCAGGAAAGCAGACAATAATACTGAAGTTGAGTCTTAAAGAGGAGTGCTATGAATGAATGCTTGTTTCCTCTCAGTATTCATATACTAAGACCCTAATTCCCAGTGTGATGGCATTTGGATATGGGGCCTACAGGGAACGATCAGATCACAAAAAAGGAGTCATGATGGGATTAGTGTCAACAGAAGAGACAAAAGAGAGTTTGCTTCCTCTATCTGCTCTCCACCATGTGAGGATACAGCAGGAAGTCAGCCATCTTTGAACCAGGAAGAGGGTCCTCACCAGAACTGAACCCTGCTGTCACCTTGATCTCCAAATACCCAGCCTCCACAACTATGAGTAATACATTTCTGCTATTCAAGCCGCTAGTCTGCAGTAATTTGTGACAGCAGCCTGAACTAAGACAAAGGGTAAGCTTAAGCAGGCAAAGGGTATTGGGAGGCATCTCCAGGGAAAAAAGAGTGCGACCTCAGAAGACAGACCAGCAGGAAATGTTCTGGAACCACTGTCCTTCAGCAAGGTTTGCATTTGTTTTCTATGGCTCCTGCAACAAAGTATTACAAATTTAGTGACTTAAAAACAACACAAATGTGTTCTCTTACAGTGTGGAGGCCAGAAGCCTGAACTGAATCTTATGGAACTAAAATTGAAGTGTTGGCAAGGGCTGATTACTTTAGAAACATTTCTTTCCTCTTCTAACTTCTGCTGGCTGCTGGCATTCCTTAGCCTGCGGTTTCATCACTCTAATCTCTGGCTCCATGGTTGAACAGCCTTCTCTTCTATAGTCTAATCTCCTTCCTCCCCACCTTTTTTTTTTTTTCCTTTTGGTGGTAGTGAGGGATGAACCCAGGAGAGTGAGCTACAACCCCAGCCCTTTTAATTAATTAAAAAAATCTTTATTTTGTTTATTTCTTTTTATGTGGTGCTGAGTATCGAACCCAGTGCCTCACATGTGCGAGGCAAGCACTCTGCCACTAAGCCACAACCCCAGCCTAACCCCCTTTTTATTTTTATTTTTTTTGAAACAGGGTCTTGCTAAATTGAGGAGACTGGCCTTGAACTTAAGATCCTCCTGCCTTAGTCTCCTGGGATTATAGGCATGAGCCACCACACCCAACTCACTGTTTGAATTTCTATTGTAAGGTAATCATTTTAATCAGGTTCAGTTCTTAGCAGCCAAGTGCTCTATATACAGAGGCCCACGGGAAGGGAAATAATGCCTACTCTGGCTATTTACTATGCTAATTACTTATGTACACTAGTTCTAATGCTCACAACATCCTGGCCACATAGATTTATCACCTCTGTTCAAATGTGGAGACATGCTCAGTAAGTTAACTTATACAAGGGAAGCGACAGCAAGGATTATGTCTCAGCTCTGTCTGCCTTACAAGCTTATATTCTAA